GTTAGGGGATGTTTCCTCCAAAGTTAGGGGATGTTGACTCCACAGGTAGTGTATGTTCATCCACAGTTAGGTGATGATAACTTCACAGTTAGGGATGTTTCATCCACTGTTAGGGGATGTTTGTTGTGATGTTTTCACCCTTGTCTGACACATCCATTATTGTCCCAGTATTTGTTGACCAGGCCTTTTTGGGGACAGAGAGTTGAACACCTACAGGGCAGAGAGTTGAACACCTCCAGGACAGAGAGTTGAACACCTCCAGGACAGAGAGTTGAACACCTCCAGGACAGAGAGTTGAACACCTCCAGGGCAGAGAGTTGAACACCTCCAGGACAAAGTTGAACACCTCCAGGACAGAGAGTTGAACACCTCCAGGACAAAGTTGAACACCTCTAGGACAGAGAGCTGAACACCTCCAGGACAGAGAGTTAAACACCTCTAGGACAGAGCCAGCACCACCCCCCCCCCCCCCAAACCCACCCCCACATTTCCTCATAAGCTTCACTCTATGAAATGAAGATGTGCCCAAGTACATATCTGTTAGTGTCTGCCTGAGTACATCTCTGTTAGTGTCTGTCTGAGTACATCTCTGTTGGTGTCTGTCTGAGTACATCTCTGTTAGTGTCTGTCTGAGTACATCTCTGTTAGTGTCTGTCTGAGTACATCTCTGTTAGTGTCTGTTTAAGTACCAGTGAAGATAAGAAACGCTAGCAGGAAAATACTTAGGAAAGTTTACCAACAAAGTGTTCGACCACATCTTGAATACGGATCAACAGCATTGAGTTTGGCAGCAAAAACCACATTGCAAGAATTAGACAAAGTGCAAAATCAAGCACTCAGAGTTACCACAGGCAGTATGAAATCAGCGCCTATAGCTGTGATGGAGAAAATGGGGATGACCCAAGCACTGAGTGAACGCAGAGACACCAAGATGCTTTTACAAGCAAAAAAGTTTCTTAGTATGCCCAGTCACCCTATGAATGAAAGATTCCAAAATTTAGCTTTGGGACGACTAAAGAGAAGTAGTTTTATCCACCAGGCCAAACGGCTCGGCAGACAAACCACTGATTTGCCTGCAACTGATAGATCCTTAAATGCTGTCCCAGAACGGACCCCCTGGAGAGAGAAGTATAAGTTTCCAATACACATCAAGACTGAAGTGAAAGGGATATTCGACAAGGAAGAACAAAACAGTGTGCATCGTAAAACAGCCACCCTCAGTCTACTTAATGATGAATACCCTCAGAACATTTGGGTCCGTGTTTACACAGATGGGTCAGCAGAAAGTGCAGTCAGAAACGGAGGTGCGGGAGTGTACATTGAGTATCCTATTAATACCAGGGATACAGCCAAAATACCTGTCAGGTAAAGCACTGTCACAACTTTGATGCAGAAGTTCAAGCCATCAAGATAGCTGTCTGAGTAACTATCTAAATACAGGGTATTTTTCATAACCAGTAGTATTCCTGACAGATGCAAAAGCAGTAAGTACTTCAGTCTCTCCAGTCTGGAAAAAGTACCAAGCAGACGGAAACGCTTAGCGGCAAAATACTTAGGAAAGTTTTGTAATTTAGTAATGCCACAGTGGAATACCTTCGCACAGCATGGAGTTCCTGCAAACGAAAGAGCTGATTGCACTAATTAAGGAAGTGCAACTGAAGCACTCACCTAACCACAGGCCAGTCTCTTATCAACAGAAGATAGAATGATCAAATCAATCAGAATGCCCCGAGCACTGGTGAAGACAGAGACCATAAGATGCTTTTACCAGCAGCAAAGTCATTATCCTTTGTCTTAGAACAGGGCCACAATCGACTTCGAGGCCACTGAACAGAAGTATTTAATTCATTGGCCAATCAGCCATGTGTATTTGTGGACTGGCACCTGAAACAACAGATCACATCCTTCAAGACTGTCCCAGATTCAACGCTTTCAGAGCAAATACCTTTGGCCAAAAGAGACACTTGTGAAGTCAAACTTTCGGGCCGCTTAGTAAAGTTACAAAAAACAGTGAAATCAGTCATACTAGAGACAGCATTGCAGATATAGATAATTTATTACATGATGGGAACGGAAGAAGAAGTGCAGTCAGAAACGGAGGTGCAGGGGTTTAAGAGTACCAGTGAATATAAGGGAAACAGAATTTAAACTACATATATAATAACAATGATAAAAAAAGAATGCTTATTTCTAGTAGTCTTGATATACTAAATATTGGGTATTTCTCTTGCAGCCAGTAGTTCTGCGGGAGTTGAAACATCCTTCAGTCATCAGTTTGTTGAAAGTTACCAAGCTACTCACATCATTACAGAAAGGTCTGGCTTCCTTTGACTTTAGTAGAGCATGATTTATGGGTAAGTGAGGATGTTCTTGTTAAGTTTCACCTAGCAAGACAAGTTACTCAAAGTTTCCAGACTAGAAGACTGTTAACATGATGGTCCCTTATCAACAAAAAGAGAATGATCAAATCAATCAGTAATGGTGACCAGAAACTGGCACAAGACGATTACCATATTATGGACAGACCAGAGCAAGTCATTATCCTTCGTCTTAGAACAGGGCACAATGTCGACTTCGCTGCCACATGTACAACAAAATTAAAATGGCCAATCAGCCATGTGTATTTGTGGACTGGCTTTCCTGAAACAACAGATCACATCCTTCAAGACTGTCCCAGATTCAACGCTTCCAGGCAACACCTTTGGCCAAAAGAGACACTTGTGGAAGTCAAACTTTACGGGCCGCTTAGTGAATTACAAAAGTGAAATTCATACTAGAGACAGCATTGCAGATATAGATAATTTATTTCATGCGAACGGAAGAAGAAGTACATCTCTGTTAGTGTCTGTTTAAGTACCAGTGAAGATAAGAAACACAGAATTTAAACTACATATATAATAAACAATTTTAAAAAAAGAATGCTTATTTCTAGTAGTCTTGATATTTGAATATTGGTTTCTCTTGCAGCTTCTGCGGGAGTTGAAACATCCAAATGTGATCAGTTTGTTGAAAGTCTTTCTCTCACATCAAGACAGAAAGGTCTGGCTTCTCTTTGACTTCTCAGAGCATGATTTATGGGTAAGTGAGATGATGTCTTGTTAAGTTTCACCTAGCAAGACAAGTTACTCAAAGTTTCCAGACTGGTGACTGTTACATGCTGGACCTCTAAAACACCTGGGCTACAGGGATTTACTGAAACTGGTGGGGCTACAGCTATATCTGAAACACCTGGGCTACATTTTATATCTGAAACACCTGGGCTACATTGCATTTGAAACACCTGGGCTCCAGGGATATCTCAAACAGCTGGGCTACAGGGATATCTCAAACACCTTGGCTACAGGGATATCTGAAACACCTGGGTGGGCTCTAGTAATATCTGAAACACCTGGGTGGGCTCCAGGGATATCTGAAACACCTGGGCAGGCTCCAGGGATATCTAAAACACCTGGCGGGCTCCAGGAATATCTGAAACACCTGGGCTCCAGGGATATCTGAAACACCTGGGCAGGCTCCAGGGATATCTGAAACACCTGGGTGGGCTCCAGGGATATCTGAAACACCTGGGCTACAGGGATATCTGAAACACCTGGGCGGGCTCTAGGGATATCTGAAACACCTGGGCTACAGGGATATCTCAAACACCTGGGTGGGCTCTAGTGATATCTGAAACACCTGGGCTACAGGGATATCTGAAACAGCTGGGCTCCAGGGATATCTGAAACATCTGGGCTACAGGGATATCTCAAACATCTGGGCTCCAGGGATATCTGAAACAGCTGGGCTACAGGGATATCTCAAACATCTGGGCTCCAGGGATATCTGAAACAGCTGGGCTCCAGGGATATCTGAAACACCTGGGCTACAGGGATATCTCAAACATCTGGGCTACAGGGATATCTGAAACACCTGGGTGGGCTCCAGGGATATCTGAAACACCTGGGCTACAGGGATATCTGAAACAGCTGGGCTCCAGGGATATCTGAAAAACCTGGGCTACAGGGATATCTGAAACACCTGGGCTACAGGGATATCTGAAACACCTGGGCTACAGGGATATCTGAAACACCTGGGCTACAGGGATATCTGAAACACCTGGGCTACAGGGAAATCTGAAACACCTGGGCTACAGGGATATCTGAAACACCTGGGCTACAGGGAAATCTGAAACACCTGGGCCACAGGGAAATCTGAAACACCTGGGCTACAGGGAAATCTGAAACACCTGGGCTACAGGGATATCTGAAACACCTGGGCTACAGGGAAATCTGAAACACCTGGGCTCATGAACCGAAGAATGGAACGAACGAACAAACAAACTTTATTTTCAAAGGGTTACAAATTAGGCACACAGGTCCGTCTAACATTCAGTCCATCTAAACACTTATTTTTCAGAGTACCAATGCCTGTTATCAATAATGCATGTTATGAATATAAAAAAAGAAATATATATTATAGAATAATGCATACACACATCATGTGTACACAATCTTACACACTCAAACACACACACGTATACATATGATTACATTCTCATGCATGCACACTCATATACAGACATGTGTAATGAATACATACATGCATCTACATACATACACAAACATAAAACATACACACACACATACATACATAGACATACATGCACAAACATAAAACACACACACATATATACATAGACATACATGCACACACACATTCCATACATACACACCTACACATGCATGCATGCATGCATACACACACATACAATCACATGTACAGACACCCACATATGCCCACAACCACACATATACACTCACATGCATACATACACCCACATACATGCACATGTACACCCACATACATGTATACATACATACACATACATACATACATACACTGGAGTAACACTGAGCCACTTAGTTTTCCTGGAACCAGAATTATTTAATTTACTGTAAGAGACCAGAATTTGTAACTCGATTTCAACAAGGTTTAAACTCTTCCCCTTTGCCTCTCCCCAGCACATAATTAAATATCACAGGTCAGCAAAGGCCAACAAGAAGCAGATCAACACGCCCAAAAATATGGTGAAGTCATTGTTGCACCAGATACTTGCTGGCATCCACTACCTGCACAGCAACTGGGTGCTGCACCGAGATCTGGTAGGTGTTCTTTCAGTGTTTGTCAACATCATCATCACATTGTAGTCTGCTAGGGAACTGGGCGGCTTAGATGTTAAATCTTCAAAGATTTGATGTTCACACACCCCCCCCCCCCCTCTCTCCCAACCCCAAAATGATCTTATTGTTGACAGAGGGGCTTAGGTGTCAAGCCTCTGTCTTTAGTCCAGAAAACTGCTTGTTGAAATGAGATTGGCTATAGCCCAGTATGAAAGATAGGCAGGCTTACTGTTTGAGTTATTGCTATTTAATTGCTTCTGACTATGGTTAGCTGATACATTTTTCTCCATATGTGGGCTGAAAGGATAAAGTTACATAGTCCAGCTACTAAGCTAAGTGCATGTCGCGACACTGTGAACTGCTGATTTTATTTGGAGTGCTTTTCAACTGTGTCAAAAAGGTGTGTGTTAAGAACTGAAAATTATTCAAATGGCGAGTGGCCTGTAGCCCCAGAACTGGTCATGCCTTAGACAATTAAATGTGGGTGCAACTACTGATTTGTGTTAACTGCTGTTTACACCAGTGATGATCTGCAGTTCTTGTGGCGGACTGTTTTTGTTGGCCATTCTGACGGCTGCCTTATGCATTTAATTCATGCATATGAAATTAGCTTCGCTGAAACTACAGTATGTGGTGTCATCCCCCCCCCCCTCCCATCTCATAGAAACAGCGAATGGCATTCTATTTGAATTTTGCTGGTACAGGAATGGTGCAACTGTGGGGTGACTTGTTTGCTGGTACAGGAATGGTACAACTGTGGGGTGACTTGTTTGCTGGTACAGGAATGGTACAACTGTGGGGTGACATGTTTGCTGGTACAGGAATGATGCAGCTGTGGGGTGACATGTTTGCTGGTACAGGAATGATGCAGCTGTGGTGTGACTTGTTTGCTGGTACAGGAATGATGCAGCTGTGGTGTGACTTGTTTGCTGGTACAGGAATGATGCAGCTGTGGGGTGACTTGTTTGCTGGTACAGGAATGATGCAGCTGTGGGGTGACTTGTTTGCTGGTACAGGAATGATGCAGCTGTGGTGTGACTTGTTTGCTGGTACAGGAATGATGCAGCTGTGGGGTGACTTGTTTGCTGGTACAGGAATGATGCAGCTGTGGGGTGACTTGTTTGCTGGTACAGGAATGATGCAGCTGTGGGGTGACTTGTTTGCTGGGACAGGAATGATGCAGCTGTGGGGTGACTTGTTTGCTGGGACAGGAATGGTACAACTGTGGGGTGACTTGTTTGCTGGGACAGGAATGATGCAGCTGTGGGGTGACTTGTTTGCTGGGACAGGAATGATGCAGCTGTGGGGTGACTTGTTTGCTGGGACAGGAATGGTACAACTGTGGGGTGACTTGTTTGCTGGGACAGGAATGATGCAGCTGTGGGGTGACAAATCGTGACCTTGACTCTTCCTTCTCCTGACAGTTGCAACAGCCTTACTGTCGCCAACTGACGACTTATTAAGAGTTTGTGGGAATTTGATGTTTTGGGCCAAAAGGGACAGATACTGCAGCCTAGCTGTAAACCAAAATGTGCCAAATGCTTGTGTCAAAGGTGAACACAGAAGGATAAAACCCAGTTAAGCCATCTTGCTCCAGAAACAGTTGTCCACTAAAGAACTTGAGAAAGATCTTCCCTAGCCTGTCTGTCTATTATTTTTCTCTCTCTTTCTCTCTGCTCTATCTTTTCCTGCCAGTGTTCCATGTTTCTTTTATTTATTTCATTCTCTTGCTCCAAATTATTCTCTCAGACACACACACACGCACACACCCGCACATGCACACACCCACACACACCCACACACACACACCCACACAAATCCTTGTATTACCGTATACATGATAAATCTGAAACCATGATATATGGTTTCCACAGAAGCCGGCAAACATTCTGGTCATGGGTGAAGGTCCTGAGAGGGGAAGAGTCAAGATAGGTTTGTTGTCTTGTCTTATTGGCATCTGTTTGTTGGCATCTGTTTGTTGTCTTGTATTGTTGGCATCTGTTTGTTGTCTTGTATTGTTGGCATCTGTTTGTTGTCTTGTATTGTTAGCATCTGTTTGTTGTCTTGTATTGTTGGCATCTGTTTGTTGTCTTGTATTGTTGGCATCTGTTTGTTGTCTTGTATTGTTGGCATCTGTTTGTTGTCTTGTATTGTTGGCATCTGTTTGTTGTCTTTTATTGTTGGCATCTGTTTGAAGATGTTGTTTCTGTGATTTGTCAGAAGTGACAAGAACTAAAGGAAAAGTCATCAGAGAAGACAGTGGAGTATTTGCTTTTACCACCTCAAGATATTATAATGGAGGTGATGGCTGTGACAGAGGCCCTAGACTAGCTGGGAAGTCAGGAATTCACCAATTTATGTGTGCTTAGTCACTCAATGAGCATGCTACAGAATAAACGAACAAACTTTATTTTCAAAGTGTCACAAATTGGGCACACAGGCCCATCTTACATTTGGCCCTTCCAGTCAACCATCTTTCGCACAGTAGTGGTATTTTAATAATAAAGCATGTTATGATCATATGATGATATGCTTATTATGAATATTATAAATAAACACAAAGAAGATCAAGGCAGGGCATATACGGAAACAGCATGCAGCTTTTGGCAACATCACCTTTCATTTTCCCCCCAGGAGATGCTAGTTTGAAAGGCAAAGAGAGAGCAGACGCACTGACTGGCAGTGTGACTATCAGGAATGGGCCATCTATGGACATATAAAATCAGTGCCATATGAGAGACAGGAAAACCATCAAGTCATGTGTGACATCTTCTTTCCATTCACTAGCTGTAAACTCTGGCGGAATGTTCTAGTTTCATCCACTTCTGGACTGCAGTCCTGTTCCAGAACCTGAGTGTTGCGTGTGCATCCATTTTGCTTGGGTGAGCCTCGGATGTAGCACAGTCTACCTGTTGGATAAGCACAGTCTACCTGTTGGATGTAGCACAGTCGACCTGTTGGATCCCTCCTTGGGTGAGCCTCGGATGTAGCTCAGTCTACCTGTTGGATCCCTCCTTGGGTGAGCTTGAGATGTGGCACAGTCTACCTGTTGGATGTAGCACAGTCTACCTGTTGGATGTAGCACAGTCTACCTGTTGGATGTAGCACAGTCTACCTGTTGGATCCCTCTTTGGGTGAGCCTCAGATGTAGCACAGTCTACCTGTTGTATCCTGCCTAGAGCTGACTGTGTTGACTTGAACATAGACACTAGACCTGTTTTCTCATGGCAAACACATAGAAAGAACATAGGCACCAGGCCTGTTCTCTCATGGCAAACACATGGACAGAACATAGACACTAGGCCTGTTCTCTCATGGCAAACACATGGACAGAACATAGACACAAGGCCTGTTCTATCATGGTAAACACATGGACAGAACATAGACACTAGGCCTGTTCTCTCATGGCCAACACATGGACAGAACATAGACACTAGGCCTGTTCTCTCATGGACAGAACATAGACACTCGGCCTGTTCTCTCATGGACAACACATGGACAAAACATAGACACTAGGCCTGTTCTCTCATGGACAACACATGGACAGAACATAGACACTAGGCCTGTTCTCTCATGGACAACATATGGACAGAACATAGACACTAGGCCTGTTCTCTCATGGCCAACACATGGACAGAACATAGAGACTAGGCCTGTTCTTTCATGGCAAACACATGGACAGAACAAAGACACTAGACCTGTTCTCTCATGGACAACTGATTCTGTCAGCTCTCTGTAAAAGAAGTGGGCATGGTCTCCCAGGACAGCAGACAAAACTGTGTTCATTCACAATACCAGCAGATTGTCTGTTACAGTGACTGTAATTCCTCAGACTTCCACAGAGTACAAGCTCATGTTGTGTATGTTCTGGAAGTCAGAGAAGTATGTCTCAGGACTCACTTAGTCCTGTTGGTTGAAACTATATCGGGGAAAGGGGGGGGGGGGGGTTGTTTGAAACTTAATTTTGTAAACTGAACACACAGATATTTATTTACCAAATTGCATCACTAATTTCAGCCGATATGGGGTTTGCCAGATTGTTTAACTCCCCGCTGAAACCTTTAGCTGACCTTGACCCAGTTGTGGTGACCTTTTGGTACAGAGCTCCTGAGTTGTTGCTAGCAGCCAGGCACTACACCAAGGCAATAGGTAAGTGCTCAGTCTCCCCTGTTATGTAGGAGTTCCTGTTGGTAAAACATTGTTCTACACCTGGACTAGTTGGTCATTTGTAAACAGTTTGACATGAGAATATCAATTGTACACATGTTCAGGCACGTCTACTTGTGTGCCCTCACTTATGGCATGTCGTCTACTTGTGTGCCCTCACTTATGGCATGTCGTCTACTTGTGTGCCCTCACTTATGGCATGTCGTCTACTTGTGTGCCCTCACTTATGGCATGTCGTCTACTTGTGTGCCCTCACTTATGGCATGTCGTCTACTTGTGTGCCAGTATTTGTGGCATGTCCTTGGTGATAAACATAGGTAGAACACATTTTGTTAGCAGGTGTCTATGACTCAAAGCAAGGGCCTGTAGCAGGCATCGATGACTCAAGGCACGAGCTTGTAACAGGCTTCAGTGACTCAAGGCAAAAGCTTGTAGCAGGCATCAATGACTCAAGGCAAGAGCTTGTAGCAGGCATCAATGACTCAAGGCAAGAGCTTGTAACAGGCTTCAATGACTCAAGGCAAAAGCTTGTAACAGGCATCAGTGACTCAAGGCAAGAGCTTGTAACAGGCATCAATGACTCAAGGCAAAAGCCTGTAACAGGCATCAGTGACTCAAGACAAGAGCTTGTAACAGGCTTCAGTGACTCAAGGCAAAAGCTTGTAGCAGGCATCAATGACTCAAGGCAAGAGCTTGTAACAGGCATCAATGACTCAATGCAAGAGCTTGTAACAGGCATCAATGACTCAAGGCAAGAGCTTGTAACAGGCATCAATGACTCAAGGAAAGAGCTTGTAACAGGCATCAATGACTCAAGGCAAGAGCTTATAACAGGCATCAGTGACTCAAGGCAAGAGCTTGTAACAGGCTTCAGTGACTCAAGGCAAAAGCTTGTAGCAGGCATCAATGACTCAAGGCAAGAGCTTGTAACAGGCATCAATGACTCAAGGCAAGAGCTTGTAACAGGCTTCAATGACTCAAGGTAAGCGCTTGTAACAGGCTTCAATGACTCAAGGCAAGAGCTTGTAACAGGCTTCAGTGACTCAAGGCAAGAGCTTGTAACAGGCTTCAATGACTCAAAGCAAGAGCTTGCAACAGGCTTCAGTGACTCAAGGCAAAAGCTTGTAGCAGGCATCAGTGACTCAAGGCAAGAGCTTGTAACAGGCATCAATGACTCAAGACAATAGCTTGTAACAGGCATCAATGACTCAAGGCACGAGCTTGTAGCAGGCATCAATGACTCAAGGCAAGAGCTTGTAACAGGCTTCAATGACTCAAGGCAAGAGCTTGTAACAGGCATCAATGACTCAAGGCACGAGCTTGTAGCAGGCATCAATGACTCAAGGCAAGAGCTTGTAACAGGCATCAATGACTCAAGGCAAGAGCTTGTAACAGGCATCAATGACTCAAGGCAAGAGCTTGTAACAGGCATCAATGACTCAAGGCAAGAGCTTGTAGCAGGCTTCAATGACTCAAGGCAAGAGCTTGTAACAGGCATCAATGACTCAAGGCAAGAGCTTGTAGCAGGCATCGATGACTCAAGGCAAAAGCTTGTAACAGGCTTCAGTGACTCAAGGCAAGAGTCAGCTGATGGATAGAAGAAGATTCTAATTTAGTGTTTTTGCTGGCGCCTGGGCAGATTGTGTGACAACTGTTTAACTTCTGTATTGCTGTTGCCAGGCTTCATTGTACAGTCTGCCAGGTTGTAATATTCACAGTCACCCTATTTCAGAAGCTGATGATGAAGAACTTTAGACATACACATGTTATGTTTTTTTTGTCTGTGGATGGTATGGAACCAGACAAAACAGACTCACACGCAGCTAAGTGTTTTCACTGTCACCTAGCATGACGTACTCACACATTGCTGTTTAAACATGTCACCTCTGCAGATATCTGGGCCATTGGGTGTATATTTGCTGAGCTGCTGACGTCAGAGCCCATATTTCACTGCAGGCAGGAGGACATCAAGACCAGCAACCCATACCACCATGACCAATTGGACAGAATCTTCAATGTCATGGGTTTTCCTTTAGGTAATTCTCAACATTATGACTTTTCCTTTAGGTAATTCTCAACATTATGGGTTTTCCTTTAGGTAATTCTCAACATTATGGGTTTTCCTTTAGGTAATTCTCAACATTATGGGTTTTCCTTTAGGTAATTCTCAACATTATGACTTTTCCTTTAGGTAATTCTCAACATTATGGGTTTTCCTTTAGGTAATTCTCAACATTATGGGTTTTCCTTTAGGTAATTCTCAACATTATGGGTTTTCCTTTAGGTAATTCTCAACATTATGACTTTTCCTTTAGGTAATTCTCAACATTATGGGTTTTCCGTAAGGTCATTGTCAACATTATGGGTTTTCCGTAAGGTCATTGTCAACATTATGGGTTTTCCGTTAGGTTATTGTCACATTATGGGTTTTCCTTTAGGTCATTGTCAACATTATGAGTTTTCCTTTAGGTAATCTTCACTGTTATGGGTCTTCCTTGAGATATTCATCCACACCCATTTTTCTTATTGAGGTCTACAAGAGAAACAAAGAATACAGTAAACAAAAACAAAACAGGTTGTGGGGGAGAGAAATATACCCACTCTCTGCCAGAGTTTACAGCCAGTGAGAGTGAAGACAGAGACTCGGAACCCACTCTCTGCCAGAGTTTACAGCCAGTGAGAGTGAAGACAGAGACTCGGAACCCACTCTCTGCCAGAGTTTACAGCCAGTGAGAGTGAAGACAGAGACTTGGAACCCACTCTCTGCCAGAGTTTACAGCCAGTGAGAGTGAAGACAGAGACTTGGAACCCACTCTCTGCCAGAGTTTACAGCCAGTGAGAGTGAAGACAGAGACTTGGAACCCACTCTCTGCCAGAGTTTACAGCCAGTGAGAGTGAAGACAGAGACTTGGAACCCACTCTCTGCCAGAGTTTACAGCCAGTGAGAGTGAAGACAGAGACTCAGAACCCACTCTCTGCCAGAGTTTACAGCCAGTGAGAGTGAAGACAGAGACTCGGAACCCACTCTCTGCCAGAGTTTACAGCCAGTGAGAGTGAAGACAGAGACTCGGAACCCACTCTCTGCCAGAGTTTACAGCCAGTGAGAGTGAAGACAGAGACTTGGAACCCACTCTCTGCCAGAGTTTACAGCCAGTGAGAGTGAAGACAGAGACTTGGAACCCACTCTCTGCCAGAGTTTACAGCCAGTGAGAGTGAAGACAGAGACTCGGAACCCACTCTCTGCCAGAGTTTACAGCCAGTGAGAGTGAAGACAGAGACTCGGAACCCACTCTCTGCCAGAGTTTACAGCCAGTGAGAGTGAAGACAGAGACTCGGAACCCACTCTCTGCCAGAGTTTACAGCCAGTGAGAGTGAAGACAGAGACTTGGAACCCACTCTCTGCCAGAGTTTACAGCCAGTGAGAGTGAAGACAGAGACTTGGAACCCACTCTCTGCCAGAGTTTACAGCCAGTGAGAGTGAAGACAGAGACTTGGAACCCACTCTCTGCCAGAGTTTACAGCCAGTGAGAGTGAAGACAGAGACTTGGAACCCACTCTCTGCCAGAGTTTACAGCCAGTGAGAGTGAAGACAGAGACTTGGAACCCACTCTCTGCCAGAGTTTACAGCCAGTGAGAGTGAAGACAGAGACTTGGAACCCACTCTCTGCCAGAGTTTACAGCCAGTGAGAGTGAAGACAGAGACTCGGAACCCACTCTCTGCCAGAGTTTACAGCCAGTGAGAGTGAAGACAGAGACTCGGAACCCACTCTCTGCCAGAGTTTACAGCCAGTGAGAGTGAAGACAGAGACTTGGAAACCCACTCTCTGCCAGAGTTTACAGCCAGTGAGAGTGAAGACAGAGACTTGGAACCCACTCTCTGCCAGAGTTTACAGCCAGTGAGAGTGAAGACAGAGACTCGGAACCCACTCTCTGCCAGAGTTTACAGCCAGTGAGAGTGAAGACAGAGACTCGGAACCCACTCTCTGCCAGAGTTTACAGCCAGTGAGAGTGAAGACAGAGACTCGGAACCCACTCTCTGCCAGAGTTTACAGCCAGTGAGAGTGAAGACAGAGACTCGGAACCCACTCTCTGCCAGAGTTTTACAGCCAGTGAGAGTGAAGACAGAGACTCGGAACCCACTCTCTGCCAGAGTTTACAGCCAGTGAGAGTGAAGACAGAGACTCGGAACCCACTCTCTGCCAGAGTTTACAGCCAGTGAGAGTGAAGACAGAGACTCGGAACCCAAAATCAGTTATAAAAATCTGCCTCAGTGTGGATTTAAACCCAAAACGTTTGAGGTGACAGACAGGCACATCTAACTGCTGAGCCACTATGACTAGCCAAGAACTATCAGCTGACAGACATTCAACTACTAACTGGGCTACGACGATTGTAGCCAAGAACTGTGAGCTGACAGACAAACAACAAACAACTGGGCCACAATGGCTTTAGTTAAGAACTTTGACCTGACAGACAGACATCTAACAGCTGGGCTAGCACAGCTGTTAACAAGAATAATTGACTGTAACAGATCTTGGAAGACAGACATAAAGGATTGACTTCAGGAGGGTTTGAGTGAAACTGGTTGCCTCATTCCCACAGAACACTAGCTGCCGTGAACAAGTCTACAATGGACTTGCCTGAGTGTCTCATCTCTTTGTTGGGAGTTGAATGGAAGAAGAAGAAAAAGCATCCTTATTTGTTCCTTGTTGGTTGAACATTGAGGAGTCAGCCAACAGAACACATCATGTCTGGGTAATCACTGATGCAGGTATCAAGATAGGGCTGTGTATATACTAGATTCAGTCACTGACATCTCACAGCTAGAGAAGACAGTACTGACAGTGGACAGCACCGGATTACCTGAAGCTAGAAGACAGCACCGGATTACCTGAAGCTAGAAGACAGCACAGTGACAGTGGACAGCACCGGATTACCTGAAGCTAGAAGACAGCACAGTGACAGGGGACAGTACCAGATTACCTGAAGATAGAAGACAGCACAGTGACAGTGGACAGCACAGTGACAGGGGACAGAAAAAATGTAGCAGGTAAAATAGGATTTCATCATTGCTACTGCAGCCTTGGTTAGAAAGCATTTGAAAATCGCACTTAACTTCCATTACCTGGATCTACACACCTGGTCATGCGGGCGTAAACTGAAATGAGCGAGCGGACCAACTGGCAAGCATTGCACTAAGGCATGTGGGGAGAAGCATGGACAGACAGAGCAGATATCGTCAGCGCTGTATGGACTGGGTTAGTGGATAATGAGGAATCCCTGGCACTGGCACGATTGCGTGACATGGGAGTTAAGCATGGTGAAGCATGGCTATGCCGTCTTCGAGGCCGAGAAAGGAGACGATATAACCAGCTTCTCGTGGGAACAGTTAGTAGAAGTACTTTAGAGTTTCTGCTGCATCAGAAGACTGAGCAGGCATGGGAATGCCCAATGTGCAGTGCGGTTGATTGTGATAACATAACATAACTGTAGCCTTATTGAGGCCTCAGCTGTAGAGTTTATACAGGTTGCATGTCTGAAACACAAGGTGTTAGTACAGGCTTACTTATACCTCTTGTCCACAGACAAGGACTGGGAGGACATCCGGAAAATGCCAGAGCATCAGCAGCTGATGAGGGACTTCAAACGATCCAGGTAAGGTCATAACATTGACTACATCAACAAACGATCCAGGTAAGGTCATAACATTGACTACATCAACAAACGATCCAGGTAAGGTCATAACATTCATTACATCAACAAACGATCCAGGTAAGGTCATAACATTGATTACATCAACAAACGATCCAGGTAAGGTCATAACATTGATTACATCAACAAACGATCCAGGTAAGGTCATAACATTGATTACATCAACAAACGATCCAGGTAAGGTCATAACATTGATTACATCAACAAACGATCCAGGTAAGGTCATAACATTGATTACATCAACAAACACAAACAGTTGTATTTGATTGCCTTTATATGGAGCCATAATAGTGACTGCACTTGCCAGTTTAAGTTCAGTTCATTGCACTGGTTGTTGGATAGTATATGCTTTAGAGACAAGAGATGAATGGATGGCAGAAAGAGAAGTGAGGAAGGAATGGATAGCAGAAAGAGAAGTGAGGAAGGAATGGATAGCAGAAAGAGAAGAGAAGTAAGGAAGGAATGGAAGGCAGAAAGAGAAGAGAAGTAAGGAATAAGAAGGAAATCATGTTCCTGTTTTACAAGAGATGGATGAAATGCTGACTCAACAATGCAGAGAACAGTTGAGTGGGGCTTCAGTGGGTTACAGTGGAGTGGGCTGTCTATAACTGAGTGGGTTACAGTAGAGTGGGGCTGTCTATAACTGAGTGGGTTACAGTGGAGTGGGCTGTCTATAACTGAGTGGGTTACAGTAGTGTGAGGCTGTCTATAACTGAGTGGGTTACAGTTGAGTGGGACTGTCTATAACTGAGTGGGTTACAGTGGTTAATTGATCTGGTTTTGTGCTGGACGTGTGACTGTTCGTTTGTTCTGGTGCAAGTGTTACATTGTACTATATGTAGGCATGAGAATTACCCCCCATCACGATGGCAAGTGGGTGGCTAGCAATGTCTGCGACAAGTCTTCCACAGTTAGAGCATGGAATGACAAAACTATTCTTGCCATCACATTTGTTTACTGGGCTTCTCAAACACTCAGCTCTCGACCTGTCTATAATAATTGTCTTCTATGTCCCTCTTCCAATAGCGATTATGATCCTCCACACAACAAAGCCGATTTTATCATGTTCAGATGATTCCACACCAAAACCTGTATCGGTCATGTCCCACTTGCACACAGCTGTATATTGTAGTAAAGGCCAACCATGGACTTTGTCCTTCCATCTGTAGTTCACCATAGAGGATATTCCATAACCGAGTCTGGTAACTGCTCATGATTTAGCCGTCCCATGCCTGCATTGCTAGCAAATGATGATATCTCATGACATTGGTCTTCCTCATGCTGAAGTAGGCCTCATACACTGAAGCTTGTGTTCACTTGTAAACTTCCCCATGTTGTTGAAAAGTGCAGCTATTTCAAAGATCTCTGGGGGTTGTCCCTGGAGCCATAGAATATTGAGCTGGGTGTGATATTCTCTGTATGGGTGAACACCCACCTTACAGATGGAGACCAGACCATGTGGGATATAAACTGGGTCAAAAAAAGTTGAATCTCCGGAGCCGCAGACAACTTCTAGACAGAAGTTACAGAACTCAGTGCTGGTTCCAGCACCTGTCAGTTGATCTAGCTGTTGTCCAGGCCCTTTGGGAGCCAGTTAGCAGTGTGGAGGCACAGATTGATTATCACTTTTTCTAGAATGGTGAGGACTGGTAATGTTGTGGAATGGTGCCTTGGGGAACGAGCGGGAAATCTGGCTGACACTCAGGGCAGCGGTAAGACGGGCAAACAGTCAGACTGTCACTGGTACCTTTGGAATTGTAACTGTGCTGCTGAAGATGGGACTGGAGTGCCTTATAGGAATTATTGATGCGATGTTGGTGTTAACAATATTGACATGATTCTGTGTGTGTAACAGGTTGTAGTTTCAACAGTGTTAGTAGTTGCAGTGGTTGGTAGTTGCAACATGTCAGTAGTTTTAAAGGTTGGTAGTTGCAACATTTTTTAGTTGTAATAGTTGATAATTCCAGGAGTGTTGGTATTTGCAACAGTTGGAAGTTGCAACGGTTGATACTGACATCGGTTTATTTGCCTCCTTGCTCCACAGCTACGTCAACTGTAACCTGATGAAGTACATGGAGAAACATAAAGTCAAGGCAGACAGCAAAGCTTTTCACCTGGTGAGTCTAGCATCTCCACATCCGCCTGCTGCTACAGTCATCTGTCTGGGAACCACTGGGTAGCCCTGCTGCTACAGTCATCTGTCTGGGAACCACTGGGTAGCCCTGCTACAGTCATCTGTCTGGGAACCACTGGGTGCCCCTGCTACAGTCATCTGTCTGGGAACCACTGGGTAGCCTTGCTGCTACAGTCATCTGTCTAGGAACCACTGGGTAGCCCTGCTGCTACAGTCATCTGTCTGATAAACACTGGGTAGCCCTGTTGCTACAGTCATCTGTCAGGGAACCACTGGGTAACCTTGCTGCTACAGTCATCGGTCTGGGAACCATTAGGTAGCCCTGCTACAGTCATCTGTCTGGGAACCACTGGGTAGCCCTGCTGCTACAGTCATTTCTCTGGGAACTACTGGGTAGCCCTGCTGCTACAGTCATCTGTCTGGGAACCACTGGGTAGCCCTGCTACAGTCATCTGTCTGGGACCACTGGGTAGCCCTGCTGCTACAGTCATCTCTCTGGGAACTACTGGGTAGCCTTGCTGCTACAGTCATCTGTCTGGGAACTACTGGGTAGCCAAGATGTAACAGGGACTCTTTGTTGCAACTGGTTGCTGAGTTGTGGCATGTCACTGTTCTACTTCATCTTCCTCTCCTTCACTCACTTCATAATTTAATTCTACGCCAGAGTCTTCTTCGTCTTCTTGTGCTGCTGGCTGTTGCACTATCACCTCCAAAAGTAACTGTTCTCAGTGGGGACACTTGTTCTTCTCTCTTGTCCCTGATCACCACTATTAAATCATACAAACCACCATGCCGTCTAATGTATAATCTCAGCTGAATCATCAGGCCGTCAAGTATTATCTTTTTAATCATTCAATGACATCAGAGGTATTGTACTTTCACAAAAATACTCACAAAGGCCATCAAGAGCTACTGTTATGACAATACAGCTGGTGGAATAAAACTCAGAAGACGATCCCAAATAAACCTTCTGTCAACCTGCTTTCAACTTGCTTCCTGAAATTTCTCTAGAGAATTTTCAAGCTTCAGATCCAAAATGACTCTGGTATGCTTTAGCTGTTCCAATTTCTTTTAATACCCAATCAGGGAACTGATAAGTGGAACAGTCTTTTCCTACTCTTATCAGGCTGAATTTTATTGTCATTACTGCATTTAAGAGGTCAAATTTCATCCTGTTTCTTAGGTTATATTTGATAAATTCACTCCAAATGAAAAACTTATAGAAAAACATCTACCATCTAAATGTCAAAACGCCATCTGAATGCAAGGGAAAACATCTAAATCTGGATGTAAAAAAGTGGCAACACTGCTCTGTGTGTGTGCTTAACTGTGAATGTATCACTGTCAGTCAAATAGGAGCCACTGTGGTATAACGGCTACATGCTCACCTGCAGATCTGAATGTCATGGGTTCAATTCCTAATGGTGCCTGCTTTTTTTTTCAAAAATGACTTTGGCTCCCAGGTCGGGGCAGTTTTGAGCAAATACCAGGCAAAGTCCTGGGAAGTAAAGGTGGCTGTTGTGACGTTGACCACATCCACCGACTGGATGTCAGTTTGTCTATAAAATGTAGGTCTAGTACTCTGTGTCCAGTATTCCTAAAGGCGTTGACAAGGGTCAAACCCCCACCTCCCCCAGTCAGCAATTAACTTTACAATTAATATATCAGTCAGTTAATTAATTATTCAGTGATTATTATCACTGTCTGTCAATGAAGGACTCAGTCAGCTAGTCAGTTAATAACTCAGTCAGCTAGTCAGTTAATAACTCAATCAGCTAGTCAGTTAATAACTCAGTCAGCTAGACAGTTAATAACTCAGTCAGCTAGTCAGTTAATAACTCAGTCACTCACTCAGTCAGCTAGTCAGTTAATAAATCAGTCTCTCAGTCAGCTAGTCAGTTAATAAATCAGTCTCTCAGTCAGCTAGTCAGTTAATAACTCAGTCAGCTAGTCAGTTAATAAATCAGTCTCTCAGCCAGCTAGTCAGTTAATAACTCAGTCAGCTAGTCAGTTAATAACTCAGTCAGCTAGTCAGTTAATAAATCAGTCTCTCAGTCAGCTAGTCAGTTAATAAATCAGTCTCTCAGTCAGCTAGTCAGTTAATAAATCAGTCTCTCAGTCAGCTAGTCAGTTAATAACTCAGTCTCTCAGTCAGCTAGTCAGTTAATAACTCAGTCTCTCAGTCAGCTAGTCAGTTAATAACTCAGTCTCTCAGTCAGCTAGTCAGTTAATAACTCAGTCTCTCAGTCAGCTAGTCAGTTAATAACTCAGTCTCTCAGTCAGCTAGTCAGTTAATAACTCAGTCTCTCAGTCAGCTAGTCAGTTAATAACTCAGTCAGCTAGTCAGTTAATAACTCAGTCAGCTAGTCAGTTAATAACTCAGTCTCTCAGTCAGCTAGTCAGTTAATAACTCAGTCTCTCAGTCAGCTAGTCAGTTAATAACTCAGTCTCTCAGTCAGCTAGTCAGTTAATAACTCAGTCTCTCAGTCAGCTAGTCAGTTAATAACTCAGTCAGCTAGTCAGTTAATAACTCAGTCTCTCAGTCAGCTAGTCAGTTAATAACTCAGTCTCTCAGTCAGCTAGTCAGTTAATAACTCAGTCTCTCAGTCAGCTAGTCAGTTAATAACTCAGTCTCTCAGTCAGCTGGTCAGTTAATAACTCAGTCTCTCAGTCAGCTAGTCAGTTAATAACTCAGTCAGCTAGTCAGTTAATAACTCAGTCAGCTAGTCAGTTAATAACTCAGTCAGCTAGTCAGTTAATAACTCAGTCAGCTAGTCAGTTAATAACTCAGTCAGCTAGTCAGTTAATAACTTAGTCAGCTAGTCAGTTAATAACTCAGTCAGCTAGTCAGTTAATAACTCAGTCTCTCAGTCAGCTAGTCAGTTAATAACTCAGTCTCTCAGTCAGCTAGTCAGTTAATAACTCAGTCAGCTAGTCAGTTAATAACTCAGTCAGCTAGTCAGTTAATAACTCAGTCAGCTAGTCAGTTAATAACTCAGTCAGCTAGTCAGTTAATAACTCAGTCTCTCAGTCAGTTAATAACTCAGTCTCTCAGTCAGCTAGTCAGTTAATAAATCAGTCTCTCAGTCAGCTAGTCAGTTTATAAATCAGTCTCTCAGTCAGCTAGCCAGTTAATAACTCAGTCTCTCAGTCAGCTAGTCAGTTAATAACTCAGTCTCTCAGTCAGCTAGTCAGTTAATAACTCAGTCAGCTAGTCAGTTAATAAATCAGTCAGCTAGTCAGTTAATAACTCAGTCTCTCAGTCAGCTAGTCAGTTAATAAATCAGTCTCTCAGTCAGCTAGTCAGTTAATAAATCAGTCTCTCAGTCAGCTAGTCAGTTAATAACTCAGTCTCTCAGTCAGCTAGTCAGTTAATAAATCAGTCTCTCAGTCAGCTAGTCAGTTAATAACTCAGTCTCTCAGTCAGCTAGTCAGTTAATAACTCAGTCTCTCAGTCAGCTAGTCAGTTAATAACTCAGTCTCTCAGTCAGCTAGTCAGTTAATAACTCAGTCAGCTAGTCAGTTAATAACTCAGTCAGCTAGTCAGTTAATAACTCAGTCTCTCAGTCAGCTAGTCAGTTAATAACTCAGTCTCTCAGTCAGCTAGTCAGTTAATAACTCAGTCTCTCAGTCAGCTAGTCAGTTAATAACTCAGTCTCTCAGTCAGCTAGTCAGTTAATAACTCAGTCAGCTAGTCAGTTAATAACTCAGTCTCTCAGTCAGCTAGTCAGTTAATAACTCAGTCTCTCAGTCAGCTAGTCAGTTAATAACTCAGTCTCTCAGTCAGCTAGTCAGTTAATAACTCAGTCTCTCAGTCAGCTGGTCAGTTAATAACTCAGTCTCTCAGTCAGCTAGTCAGTTAATAACTCAGTCAGCTAGTCAGTTAATAACTCAGTCAGCTAGTCAGTTAATAACTCAGTCAGCTAGTCAGTTAATAACTCAGTCAGCTAGTCAGTTAATAACTCAGTCAGCTAGTCAGTTAATAACTTAGTCAGCTAGTCAGTTAATAACTCAGTCAGCTAGTCAGTTAATAACTCAGTCTCTCAGTCAGCTAGTCAGTTAATAACTCAGTCTCTCAGTCAGCTAGTCAGTTAATAACTCAGTCAGCTAGTCAGTTAATAACTCAGTCAGCTAGTCAGTTAATAACTCAGTCAGCTAGTCAGTTAATAACTCAGTCAGCTAGTCAGTTAATAACTCAGTCTCTCAGTCAGTTAATAACTCAGTCTCTCAGTCAGCTAGTCAGTTAATAAATCAGTCTCTCAGTCAGCTAGTCAGTTAATAAATCAGTCTCTCAGTCAGCTAGCCAGTTAATAACTCAGTCTCTCAGTCAGCTAGTCAGTTAATAACTCAGTCTCTCAGTCAGCTAGTCAGTTAATAACTCAGTCTCTCAGTCAGCTAGTCAGTTAATAACTCAGTCAGCTAGTCAGTTAATAAATCAGTCAGCTAGTCAGTTAATAACTCAGTCTCTCAGTCAGCTAGTCAGTTAATAAATCAGTCTCTCAGTCAGCTAGTCAGTTAATAAATCAGTCTCTCAGTCAGCTAGTCAGTTAATAACTCAGTCTCTCAGTCAGCTAGTCAGTTAATAAATCAGTCTCTCAGTCAGCTAGTCAGTTAATAACTCAGTCTCTCAGTCAGCTAGTCAGTTAATAACTCAGTCTCTCAGTCAGCTAGTCAGTTAATAACTCAGTCTCTCAGTCAGCTAGTCAGTTAATAACTCAGTCAGCTAGTCAGTTAATAACTCAGTCAGCTAGTCAGTTAATAACTCAGTCTCTCAGTCAGCTAGTCAGTTAATAACTCAGTCTCTCAGTCAGCTAGTCAGTTAATAACTCAGTCTCTCAGTCAGCTAGTCAGTTAATAACTCAGTCTCTCAGCCAGCTAGTCAGTTAATAACTCAGTCAGCTAGTCAGTTAATAACTCAGTCAGCTAGTCAGTTAATAACTCAGTCAGCTAGTCAGTTAATAACTCAGTCTCTCAGTCAGCTAGTCAGTTAATAACTCAGTCAGCTAGTCAGTTAATAACTCAGTCAGCTAGTCAGTTAATAGCTCAGTCAGCTAGTCAGGTAATAACTCAGTCAGCTAGTCAGTTAATAAATCAGTCTCTCAGTCAGCTAGTCAGTTAATAACTCAGTCTCTCAGTCAGCTAGTCAGTTAATAAATCAGTCTCTCAGTCAGCTAGTCAGTTAATAACTCAGTCTCTCAGTCAGCTAGTCAGTTAATAAATCAGTCATCTAGTCAGTTAATAACTCAGTCAGCTAGTCAGTTAATAACTCAGTCAGCTAGTCAGTTAATAAATCAGTCAGCTGCCATCTTGTATTTGCAGCTGCAGAAGCTTCTGACCATGGACCCCACAAAAAGAATCTCCTCGGAGCAGGCCATCAAAGACCCGTACTTCACCGCTGAAGAGCCACCACCTTGTTCAGAGTGAGTTGTTACAGTGACAGTGCCCCCATCCCACCCTCAACCCCCATCATACCGCCTCCCCCATCCCACCCATCTGTCTGTCTCCATAGCACAACTGATGGAATTGTGTCAGTTTGCTTACCTCCATCTGTTTATCTCCTGACTGTTGTTGTCTTACACATGAGGAACTATGTCAGCTTGCTTACCTCCACCTGTTTGTCTCCTGACTGTTGTTGTCTTACACATGAGGAACTATGTCAGCTTGCTTACCTCCACCTGTTTGTCTCCTGACTGTTGTTGTCTGACATATGAGGAATTGTGTCAGTTTGCTTACCTCCACCTGTTTGTCTCCTGACTGTTGTTATGTGACATGAGGAACTATGTCAGCACCTGAAAAAATTCAGTATATTATTTCTGAGAGTATGCTGAAAGTATGAATAATTCCATATATTAGATATAAGAGCAGACTAAATGTATGAATAATTCCATATATTAGATATAAGAGCAGACTAAATGTATGAATAATTCCATATATTAGATATAAGAGCAGACTAAATGTATGAATAATTCCATATATTAGATATAAGAGCAGACTAAATGTATGAATAATTCCATATATTAGATATGAGAGTAGACTAAATGTATGAATAATTCCATATATTAGATATGAGAGTAGACTAAATGTATGAATAATTCCATATATTAGATATAAGAGCAGATCGAATGTATCAAGAGCCAAAGTGCTGCTGACTGAAAGTGTTAAGGAGTTTATCACTAATGTTGTTAACCAAGAGTTGTTCTATCTTGTACATGTGCTCTGTTTAGTTACTTTCTGTTCTCAAATTTCTGTATTTCATCACTTTTTCCTGACAGTGTTTTTGAGGGAGGACCTATACCTTACCCTAAAAGAGAATTTATTTCTGACGATGACAACGAGGATAAATCAGATACAAACAAAGTAAGTTCAGCAGAGGAACCTTTTTTTTTTTAAAAACTTGACAGCACGCCTAACCTTATATTTTGTATAAACCAATCGACACTCAGCAGAGCCTTTATGATAAAGTGATAAAGATTGTCTCTTGACTTTTCTTTGGCTGGCAGGCGAGTGATACCAACTGAGTGGCTGTCAGTCTTTCTTTTCTATTCATCAGTTGTTTATTCTCAGGAATCAGTTGTTTATTCTCATGAATCAGTTGTTTATTCTCATGAATCATTTGTTTATTCTCATGAATCATTTGTTTATTCTCATGAATCATTTGTTTATTCTCATGAATCAGTTGTTTATTCTCATGAATCATTTGTTTATTCTCATGAATCATTTGTTTATTCTCATGAATCATTTGTTTATTCTCATGAATCATTTGTTTATTCTCATGAATCATTTGTTTATTCTCATGAATCATTTGTTTATTCTCATGAATCATTTGTTTATTCTGATGAATCATTTGTTTATTCTCATGAATCATTTGTTTATTCTTATGAATCATTTGTTTATTCTGATGAATCATTTGTTTATTCTCATGAAGCATTTGTTTATTCTGATGAATCATTTGTTTATTCTCATGAATCAGTTGTTTATTCTCATGGATCAGTTGTTTATTCTCATGAATCAGTTGTTTATCTTTTCCTGCTGTGTAGCCTACATGGCTGGTGGCATTCGTTGCACAGACTAGAACATTTCCCTGGCACACAGCAGTGGAACAGTTGCTGTCCTGACCAGACTAGAACAACTCCCTGGCACACAGCAATGGAACAGTTGCTGTCCTGATCAGACAAGAACAACTCCCTGGCACACAGCAATGGAACAGTTGCTGTCCTGATCAGACAAGAACAACTCCCTGGCACACAAAACCCCAGGCCCTCTCTATAAGTGTTTCTATACAGCTATGGCTGGAGAGTGGTTGTTAATTTTTTACTGTCACCAGAAACCTACAACTGAGTTGTTTATTTTTTACTGTCCTTACAAACCTGCAACTAAGATGTTCATGTGTTAATTTCACTGTCACCACAAACCTACAACTGAGTTTATTCATTTGTTGCTTCCACCGTTCATTACAAACCTACAACTGAGTTGTTCATTCTTTCACCTCAAACTTACAACAAAATTGTTCATTTGTTGCTTCCACCGTTCATTACAAACCTACAACTTTTGTTTCCTTACAGCAACAGCAGACAGCAGGAGCTGCAGGAGGCGCAGGAAACAACCAGGGGTCCGAACACAACCAACCACCTGCCAAGCGGCCACGCCTGGCAACAAATTCCAGCACCAACTCAATGGTCTCTGCTGAATATCAGGTCGGAGGTTAAGATGTTGTCGGTGATTTGATCGTCAACTCAGGCCTCTCGTCTTGATATGTTTATGTCAACGTCCGCCTGCATTATCTTGGGCTTCTGTCAGATTTTTACCCACAGACTCTCAGTTTGGCCCATTTATGCCGAAATGGCTGTTTGTTTTTGGAAGTAAGACTGGTGAATTTTATTGCAGAACTTGTTTAATAATATTTAGATGTGATTGAAAAAAATGGACACAATTTTAGCTTAAATTGTCTCAAATAATGCGGCGTAAAAGCCTGACGGAAGCCATAGATTTGTGCTTTTGTTGTGTTTAGATAAACTATTAGTGTGTTGCATGCCACTTGAGGTGGCACAATCTGATCTATCAGTTGTCACATTTTCTTCATTTACCACAAAAACAATTCTTGAAGTGGTTGCATTAAAAAAAAAATTGAAATCACAACATTATTTTACATACATGTACACATTGGCACACTTGTTAACTTCAAGTAGACAGTTTTGAACCTCACACATGACAGCTCTGAACCTCTCACACAAGACATCACCAAACCTCACACACATGACAATTCTGAACCTCACACAAATAACAGCACTGAACCTCACACACCTGACAGTGCAGAACCTCACAGACATGACAGTACTGAACCTCACACATGATGGTGCTAAATAAAGTGAATCATAGACAGTCATAGACACAGTCATAATCATTTGGCCCCTAGAAACTTTTAAGGAAAACAAAGCCTGGGGAATTCTTTAGGGAAAATGTTTTAAAAAAAACATAAACATTTTTACATGGGTCACTGAACCTGAAATGTTTTTAAAGGAATTAATCAATGGGAGTTATAAGTAAATTCAAACATCATGGGAACATTATCCCACCACCCCTGAAATGTATTTAATCATTACATTCACATCACGGTCCTCATAAAAAATGTGCACAGGCACAAACAGAACCAATGTCATTAACTTGGCTTCTCATTGACTCACAGTGTTAGTTAAGTGTTTCTCAGGGATTTACAGTGTCAGTTCAGTGGTTTCTCAGGGATTTACAGTGTCAGTTTAATGGTTTCTCAGGGACTCACAGTGTCAGTTAAGTGGTTTTTTAGTGACTCACAGTGTCAGTTCAGTGGTTTCTCAAGGATTTACAGTGTCAGTTAAGTGGTTTCTCAGGACTCACAGTGTCAGTTAAGTGGTTTTTTAGTGACTCACAGTGTCAGTTCAGTGGTTTCTCAAGGATTTACAGTGTCAGTTAAGTGGTTTCTCAGGGATTTACAGTGTCAGTTCAGTGGTTTCTCAAGGATTTACAGTGTCAGTTAAGTGGTTTCTCAGGATTTACAGTGTCAGTTAAGTGGTTTCTCAGGGATTTACAGTGTCAGTTAAGTGGTTTCTCATGGATTTACAGTGTCAAGTGGTTTCTCAGAGATTTACAATGTCAGTTAAGTGGTTTCTCAGGGATTTACAGTGTCAGTTAAGTGGTTTCTCAGGGATTTACTGTGTCAGTTAAGTGGTTTCTCAGGGATTTACTGTGTCAAATGGTTTCTCAGGGATTTACAGTGTCAGTTAAGTGGTTTTGCAGGGATTTACAGTGTCAGTTAAGTGGTTTCTCAGGGATTTACAGTGTCATTTAAGTGGTTTCTCAGGGATTCACAGTGTCAGTTCAGTGGTTTCTCAGGGATTTACAATGTCAGTTAAGTGGTTTCTCAGGGAATTACAGTGTCAGTTAAGTGGTTTCTCAGGGATTTAGTGTCAGTTGTGGTTTTTCAGGGATTTACAGTGTCAGTTAAGTGGTTTCTCAGGGATTCACAGTGTCAGTTAAGTGGTTTCTTAGGGATTCACAATGTCAGTTAAATGGTTTCTCAGGGACTCACAGTGTCAGTTAAATGGTTTCTCAGGGACTTGCAGGGTCAGTTAAGAGGTTTCTCAGGGACATATATTGTCACTTCAGTGACTTCTTAGGAATTAGAACCGGTTGGAAATAGCAGGTTTGCATCTCCGGGTCAGAGGGTTAAAGTCATAGGCCAAGTTTGTGTTAGACACATCTAGTGTGTGTACATTCTTGTGTTTGATACAGATTCTCTTAATTTTACATGGAATTTTTGATAGGATCTTTGCCTTTGGTTGTCTTCACTGATAGCGTTATTAGCAACTTGTTTGGCAACCCTGTGTAATTTGTGTAGTAAATACTAAAACTGAGCACAACACAGCCACAAGATGTTGGTTTTTCCTCTTATTCTTCAGCATTCTTGAGTCCTTGATGGCTATTTGCTGCAGATATCACCATTCAGCAAAGCATTAGTTGTGGTCTTCATTGCCATCTCTTCTTGCACACCTGCTTTCATCTGCACAGAATTATTGCTTGCTTTTCTGCATCAGTTTGTATTGAAGCTTTCCTCTTTGTCAATCTGGCTCCTGAATGTGCTTTTTGTAAACAGTGCCTTGTTTAAATGTGTATCGTCTGGCCACGTAAACTTGCCATCTTGATGTGTGTAATTACTGAATATTGTTTACCTGTGCTGATTGCTTATGTACCTTCACATGCCTACATTCTCACCTGACTTGTGGTCTGTTTGTTGACCTCACATTGTCACCTGACTTGTGGTCTGTTTGTTGACCTCACATTGTCACCTGACTTGTGGTCTGTTTGTTGACCTCACATTGTCACCCGACTTGTGGTCTGTTTGTTGACCTCACACTGTCACTTGACTTGTGATCTGTTTGTTGACCTCTTGTCACCTGACTTGTGATCTGTTTGTTGACCTCTTGTCACCTGACTTGTGATCTGTTTGTTGACCTCACATTGTCACCTGACTTGTGGTCTGTTTGTTGACCTCACATTGTCACCTGACTTGTGGTCTGTTTGTTGACCTCACATTGTCACCTGACTTGTGATCTGTTTGTTGACCTCTTGTCACCTGACTTGTGATCTGTTTGTTGACCTCACATTGTCACCTGACTTGTGGTCTGTTTGTTGACCTCTTGTCACCTGACTTGTGATCTGTTTGTTGACCTCTTGTCACCTGACTTGTGATCTGTTTGTTGACCTCACATTCTCACCTGACTTGTGGTCTGTTTGTTGACCTCTTGTCACCTGACTTGTGGTCTGTTTGTTGACCTCACATTGTCACCTGACTTGTGATCTGTATGTTGACCTCACATTGTCACCTGACTTGTGGTCTGTTTGTTGACCTCACATTGTCACCTGACTTGTGGTCTGTTTGTTGACCTCACATTCTCACCTGACTTGTGGTCTGTTTGTTGACCTCACATTCTCACCTGACTTGTGGTCTGTTTGTTGACCTCACATTGTCACCTGACTTGGAATCTGTATGTTGACCTCACATTGTCACCTGACTTGTGGTCTGTTTGTTGACCTCACATTCTCACCTGTCTTGGGGTCTGTTTGTTGACCTCACATTGTCTGGGGCATGTATTCTGTCAGTGTCTGTCTAGATCACCATAGCTGTCCTTAGTTGTCTCCCCTCCTGCACTACCTGACAATATAGCATGTACTATATAGCACAGATTTAGCAACTGGACCTGGTTCTGTGGTGTTCTGTACAACCTGACAATATAGCATGTACTATAGCCCATATGTAGCAACTGGACCTGGTTCTGTGGTGTCCACCTGCACTACCTGACAATATAGCATGTACTATAGCCCATATGTAGCAACTGGACCTGGTTCTGTGGTGTCCACCTGTACAACCTGACAATATAGCATGTACTATAGCCCATATGTAGCAACTGGACCTGGTTCTGTGGTGTCCACCTGCACTACCTGACAATATAGCATGTGCTATAGCCCATATGTAGCAACTGGACCTGGTTTCTGTCTGCAGTTGTCCCCACACCTTCAACATCTGTTTGAGTACGGCCACCCCAGTGATGTAAACTTCTATTACTCACCACCACATGCCAGCTGGGTAGAGACGTCTCACTGTAGTTTGTTTGATGAGTTTCTGTTGAAATAACACATTTAAATAACTTGTTTCTTCTAACTTTATTTTGTTTTTTGCCCCCCCCCCCCCCCCCCCCCCCCCCCAAAGTATCAGGGATGTGTGAAATGTAGTGATTGTGTGAGCCAGAGCATCATATAACTAACTCATTGCTGTTAGTGTAAGGTATAGGTGCTGTGTGCCAACACATGGTGAAGCATCAGCATCAAGTGCCAGTGATCTTTAACAACATCTATCACTTCATGACCAACAATTTATGACTTTTTATTCTGATATTTGCGACATGTAAACTTTAGACCCTCACCTCTTGCAAAATATCTGGCTACCTCATTTGGGCCGTCCAAGTATTATTAAGCATTCTTTTGTAAAAACAGTCTCTCTGAGGCCTCACAAAATTGTTTGGCTTGTTGATTAATTGTCCGGGATTCACCGCTATTTGTTAAACTGGCTCTGTGTAGCATGCAAGAATTCTAACCTCCAGTGACACTGTTTTGTTTTACATGTAACACCATTGGTCCCTGGAAATTATCTTTCTCACATCTTAATTTACAACAACAAAATCCTGTAGGCAACAAAACATTGATGTATTTTCTTTTCCTTTGAATTACTGTTTGTGTTTTTATTTCATTAACAAAACTTTTTGTTTTCCTGTTTTTAATTTTTAATTAGCAGTGATTAGAAAATTATAAAACACTCAGTTGTTTAAATGTACACAGATGTTCTAGATGAACACAGATGTTCTAGGTGAACACAGATGTTCTAGGTGAACACAGATGTTCTAGATGAACACAGATGTTCTAGGTGAACACAGATGTTCTAGATGAACACAGATGTTCTAGATGAACACAGATGTTCTAGATGAACACAGATGTTTTAGATGAACACAGATGTTCTAGATGAACACAGATGTTTTAGGTGAACACAGATGTTCTAGGTGAACACAGATGTTCCAGGTGAACACAGATGTTCTAGGTGAACACAGATGTTCTAGGTGAACACAGATGTTCTAGATGAACACAGATGTTCTAGGTGAACACAGATGTTCTAGGTGAACACAGATGTTCTAAATTTGTGGGGAAAAATTTGTGTGTGTGTGGTTACATTAGAAATGACTTTCATAACGAAACTTTTATACAAGTAGAGGTGATGCTGTAGGTAGTTACTGTTTTGAACATTTCAAATCGATATCTTCATGGACGACTGTGTTCTGTGTTCTGTGTTCTGTGTTCTGTGTTCTGTGTGCTGTGTTCTGTGTTCTGTGTGCTGTGTGCTGTGTTCTGTGTTCTGTGTTCTGTGTTCTGTGTTCTGTGTGCTGTGTTCTGTGTTCTGTGTGCTGTGTGCTGTGTTCTGTGTGCTGTGTGCTGTGTTCTGTGTGCTGTGTTCTGTGTTCTGTGTGCTGTGTGCTGTGTTCTGTGTGCTGTGTGCTGTGTTCTGTGTTCTGTGTGCTGTGTTCTGTGTTCTGTGTTCTGTGTTCTGTGTGCTGTGTTCTGTGTTCTGTGTTCTGTGTGCTGTGTTCTGTGTTCTGTGTGCTGTGTTCTGTGTTCTGTGTGCTGTGTGCTGTGTTCTGTGTGCTGTGTTCTGTGTGCTGTGTTCTGTGTTCTGTGTGCTGTGTTCTGTGTGCTGTGTTCTGTGTGCTGTGTTCTGTGTTCTGTGTGCTGTGTTCTGTGTTCTGTGTTCTGTGTTCTGTGTTCTGTGTTCTGTGTTCTGTGTGCTGTGTTCTGTGTGCTGTGTGCGGTGTTCTGTGTTCTGTGTTCTGTGTGCTGTGTTCTGTGTGCTGTGTTCTGTGTGCTGTGTTCTGTGTTCTGTGTTCTGTGTGCTGTAATACTCTGGGACTTGTTGAGCACGTCTGAAGTGTTCATTAAATTTTTGTTCCTCCAAATTATTGTTTGATTAACTTACTAATTACATTTAGACTAGACTATTTAATAACTAATAATAATTATAGTCAGTTTTTCAATAATTATTTTAATCTGTGGTAACTGTTCAATAGCTAAGTAACTTTACAAGTAGAGTTGATGAAATAATGATTAACTGACCACTGGGTTTGAAATCATTGTTCATCTTCATTGTTCATTTAATGGTGTCATCTGAAATCATTGTTCATCTTATGGTGTCATCTGAAATCATTGTTCATCTTATGGTGTCATCTGAAATCATTGTTCATTTAATGGTGTCATTGGAAATCATGGCTAGCCAAGAAAGAACACAAGCAACAGAAAATAAATTGATCACTGAAATGGCAACATTAACAGTTGCAGACGAGGGCGGATGGCATATTCTTGATTGTGACTTCGTTATGGACAGTGTTAATGATTACGTTAGTCAGTAGTATGGTTAACCCAGATTGATGTTATTTATCTGTTAGTGATCCCAGATTGATGTTATTTATCTGTTAGTGATACGTGCATATACTTGCAGGTGATCATTAGAATATTTGATTCTCATAACTGTTTGTTTGTGTGTCTGCAGCATGTGCACAACATCCAGGGTGGAGCCAGCAACCAGCAACAGGGCATGAACTACCAGACGGGCAGCAACTCCCAGCAGACGTCAGCCTCCTCCACATTCGCCTCCCGTATGATATGACAGTGTGGCAGCAGAGGCCAAGCAAATTTTCTGTGTATAATGTGAACAGAATGCGTCCAAAAATTGTATATTGCCAGCCAGATGATGATACTATATGACTAGGTACACTTTACAGCAAATTAAATTAAAACAGCAATCACATGGCTCTGTTTATTAATTTTTCTCTCCTTCTATCTTTCAGATTGTCTGTGAAACATAGGTTGTCAACTTTGTTTCTCTCCTTATATCTCTCAGATTGTCTGTGAAACATAGGTTGTCAACTTTGTTTCTCTCCTTATATCTCTCACTTGTCTGTGAAACATAGGTTGTCAACTTTGTTTCTCTCCGAATTATCCAGCTCCTGAACCAACCAACCAAACAACCAACTCATTACATAACATTTGTGACACATGTGGTCGGAAATGCATTGCTTGCTTGCCAAGTATCTAGGAGCTAGGTTGATAGAGACCAGTCTTCCACATCTACACCCATAATTCCCTCAGACAACGAACCATGGCTGCCCACTCTCATTGGCACGGCACATGCTGATGGTGATTACAGCTGGAGTAAAGGAAGGCCAGGCACAGGTCACATGTCCTGTTGTAACCACTAGAATAAATCAGGCACAGGTCACATGTCTTGTTGTGACCACTAGAATAAATCAGGCACAGGTCACATGTCTTGTTGTAACCACTAGAATAAATCAGGCACAGATCACATGTCCTGTTGTAACCACTAGAATAAATCAGGCACAGATCACATGTCTTGTTGTAACCACTAGAATAAATCAGGCACAGATCACATGTCCTGTTGTAACCACTAGAATAAATCAGGCACAGATCACATGTCCTGTTGTAACCACTAACACTCTCTAAGAATGCTGTAATACACTACACTACATCATGCATAATCTTATAGTGCAATCAATCTCTTAATTGTAGACAAACATATGTTGACAAAGATGAATTGATGATCAGTTAATTTCTGTTTGTATACCACCTGCTAAATACACTCACATCGGCAGTCTCCCGATCTTGCACAAAACCCCCTGGTGAACAATGTACAAGTGCCTGCAACAGGTGACTCGAACCCGATCATGCACAAAACCCCCTGGTGAACAATGTACAAGTGCCTGCAACAGGCGACTCGAACCCGATCATGCACAAAACCCCCTGATGAACAATGTACAAGTGCCTGCAACAGGCGACTCGAACCCGATCATGCACAAAACCCCCTGGTGAACAATGTACAAGTGCCTGCAACAGGTGACTCGAACCCGATCTTTCAGATACATAATCTCTGTGATGTGCAGTGATGGTCTTATGATGGCTCTCTCTCTAAGAGGCAGAGGCACCACTTGGGAAAAAGAATCCAGACCTGCAGTCTGCTACCCATCACCGATCAGCCTGTAACAAACCAGCATTCCCGATAGTTTCCCCATCACAACTGCCCATTGGTCAACACGCACCAAGTCAACACAAAACATTATGTAGCACTTACAAACACCCCGTCAACCAGCAGGTCACAGCCACAACTTTGATGATGCCACACACATGACCGACACAAGTCCATTCTAGATAATTACTCTGACAGCATTCTGAAGTACAGCGAGCTCCCACAGAGTAAACCATATTGTAAGAACTCACTTGGGACTTGAAACACTTTACACACATGTCCACACACTTAGACAGACTGACTCACATGGGACTTGAAACACTTTACACACACATGTCCACACACTTAGACAGACTGACTCACTTGGGACTTGAAACACTTTACACACACACACACAGACTCCACACTGACTTAGACAGACTTAGACTCACATGGGACTTGAAACACTTTTACACACATGTCCACACACTTAGACAGACTGACTCACATGGGACTTGAAACACTTTACACACATGTCCACACACACTTAGACAGACTGACTCACATGGGACTTGAAACACTTTACACACTTTACACATGTCCACACACTTAGACAGACTGACTCACATGGGGACTTGAAACACTTTACACACATGTCCACACACTTAGACAGACTGACTCACATGGGACTTGAAACACTTTACACACACATGTCCACACACTTAGACAGACTGACTCACATGGGACTTGAAACACTTTACACACACATGTCCACACACTTAGACAGACTGACTCACTTGGGACTTGAAACACTTTACACACACATGTCCACACACTTAGACAGACTGACTCACATGGGACTTGAAACACTTTACACCACACACTGACAGACTGACTCACATGGGACTTGAAACACTTTACACACTTAGACAGACTGACTCACATGGGACTTGAAACACTTTACACACACATGTCCACACACTTAGACAGACTGACTCACATGGGACTTGAAACACTTTACACACATGTCCACACACTTAGACAGACTGACTCACATGGGACTTTAACACACTTTCCACACACACAGACTGTCCACACACTTAGACACACTGACTCACATGGACTTGAAACACTTTACACACATGTCCACACACTTAGACAGACTGACTCACATGGGACTTGAAACACTTTACACACACATGTCCACACACTTAGACAGACTGACTCACATGGGACTTGAAACACTTTACACACATGTCCACACACTTAGACAGACTGACTTACATGGGACTTGAAACACTTTACACACACATGTCCACACACTTAGACAGACTGACTCACATGGGACTTGAAACACTTTACACTCACATGTCCATACACTTAGACAGACTGACTCACATGGGACTTGAAACACTTTACACACACATGTCCACACACTTAGACAGACTGACTCACATGGGACTTGAAACACTTTACACACATGTCCACACACTTAGACAGACTGACTCACATGGGACTTGAAACACTTTACACACATGTCCACACACACTTAGACAGACTGACTCACATGGGACTTGAAACACTTTACACACACATGTCCAGGACTTGAAACACTTTACACACATGTCCACACACTTAGACAGACTGACTCACATGGGACTTGAAACACTTTACACACACATGTCCACACACTTAGACAGACTGACTCACATGGGACTTGAAACACTTTACACACACACATGTCCACACACTTAGACTTGAACTGACTCACATGGGACTTGAAACACTTTACACACATGTCCACACACTTAGACAGACTGACTCACATGGGACTTGAAACACTTTACACACATGTCCACACACTTAGACAGACTGACTCACATGGGACTTGAAACACTTTACACACACATGTCCACACACTTAGACAGACTGACTCACATGGGACTTGAAACACTTTACACACACATGTCCACACACTTAGACAGACTGACTCACATGGGACTTGAAACACTTTACACACATGTCCACACACTTAGACAGACTGACTCACATGGGACTTGAAACACTTTACACACACCACACACTTAGACAGACTGACTTTACATGGACTTGAAACACTTTACACACACATGTCCACACACTTAGACAGACTGACTCACATGGGACTTGAAACACTTTACACACACATGTCCACACACTTAGACAGACTGACTCACATGGGACTTGAAACACTTTACACACACATGTCCACACACTTAGACAGACTGACTCACATGGGACTTGAAACACTTTACACACATGTCCACACACTTAGACAGACTGACTCACATGGGACTTGAAACACTTTACACACATGTCCACACACAGACAGACTGATCACATGGGACTTGACTTGACACACTTAGACAACATGGGACTTGACACACACATGTCCACACACTTAGACAGACTGACTCACATGGGACTTGAAACACTTTACACACATGTCCACACACTTAGACAGACTGACTCACATGGGACTTGAAACACTTTACACACATGTCCACACACTTAGACAGACTGACTCATATGGGACTTGAAACACTTTACACACATGTCCACACACTTAGACAGACTGACTTGGGACTTGAAACACTTTACACACACATGTCCACACACTTAGACAGACTGACTCACATGGGACTTGAAACACTTTACACACACATGTCCACACACTTAGACAGACTGACTCACATGGGACTTGAAACACTTTACACACACATGTCCACACACTTAGACAGACTGACTCACATGGGACTTGAAACACTTTACACACATGTCCACACACTTAGACAGACTGACTCACATGGGACTTGAAACACTTTACACACATGTCCACACACTTAGACAGACTGACTCACATGGGACTTGAAACACTTTACACACACATGTCCAGGACTTGAAACACTTTACACACATGTCCACACACTTAGACAGACTGACTCACATGGGACTTGAAACACTTTACACACATGTCCACACACACTTAGACAGACTGACTCACATGGGACTTGAAACACTTTACACACACATGTCCACACACTTAGACAGACTGACTCACATGGGACTTGAAACACTTTACACACATGTCCACACACTTAGACAGACTGACTCACATGGGACTTGAAACACTTTACACACACAATGTCCACACACACTAGACAGACTGACTCACATGGACTTGAAACACTTTACACACACATGTCCACACACTTAGACAGACTGACTCACATGGGACTTGAAACACTTTACACACACATGTCCACACACTTAGACAGACTGACTCACATGGGACTTGAAACACTTTACACACATGTCCACACACTTAGACACACATGACTTGACACTTGTCCAGACTTTAGAAACACACTTGGGACTTGAAACACTTTACACACACACACTTAGACACACACTGAAACACTTTAGACATGTCACACACTTAGACAGACTGACTCACTTGGGACTTGAAACACTTTACACACACATGTCCACACACTTAGACAGACTGACTCACATGGGACTTGAAACACTTTACACACACATGTCCACACACTTAGACAGACTGACTCACATGGGACTTGAAACACTTTACACACACATGTCCACAC